CATCTTGATAATTTAGGGGAATTTTTATCAAAACTGGAGCAGACAGAAGCCGATTTCTTGCCACGCATAGCTGCTTCTGATTCTCTCATTGTCAAAGCTTAACTGAACAAGCTGAAGACAGAAGTTATTAGTTGTCAAGCACAGATGCTCCTGACTCTGCTCCAGTTTTGATAAATTTCCCCCCAGTATGCATTCACAAAGCATTAAAAAACAACCATTGTCTTTCAGACAGCAAGGGAGAAAAAAATCTGCCTAAAAAAGGGACACATACAGTAATAAAATACCCAGCAGATATTCCAACCCCTCCCCATTCTACTAAATGTTTTATGGTTGTCGGTGCTTCCAGTAGAGGGGATTTCACCTCAGTTCCTGTTCCAGTAATCTCTAAAACAGGGAATGGAGGAAAATTTCCCCAATTAGGACACACAGAAATGAAAACACAGGGGAGGTTTTAACACTATTTAACAGAAAAAAGGTGCAGTCTTATTTAAAATGATGCTTTGTGCTATTACTAAATAAATGATCATTTACAGTATAGAAATGTTAACAGTAAAATATAACTAATAGAAGGGAGAACTTAGTGGAACTTACTCTCAAATGTCCAGTGGGTTTTAAACGTCAATTTCATGTTACCGGAGATTGTGACATTAACACTGGGCAGGGTTAAATTATACCTCATAGATGGCATTGCTTCTTATAATTATATTTGTATGGTTGTTCAGTATTGCTACAAAAATTACCTACAAACTGTGCTCAAAATATCCTGAAGAAACCGAGAAAGCATTTACATATATGGAAAGCATACAATCCTTGGTCAAATTAGAAAACTCATCTGAATGTTCATCCCTGCACCTCAAAATAATAAAAAAAAAACACATTAGAATCATCATATATACTATGAAATTTAAAATAGTACTCGCATGACATTTTCAAATCAGTAGTATTGTGGGTCAAAAGATAAAAAAAAACCAAAACACCATTCCTGTGTGCACTGCTTTTCTCCTGAGATGTCAATGGTCCTCCTTATGCATGACTGGCACTTCCACTAAGGGGAACATTTATAATAATAAAAAAAAACACAGCTATTTATTTTTCAGACCTCATGTACATTTGTTCCATGGAATGCTGGCAAAACTGAATGTTACTAGGCAATTGTCTGTCTGTGCCAGACGTCTCTTCGGTCCTTCTAACAGTAGGCGGCGCTGTGACAGCCGACAGCCCCAACATTTTAGAAGGAAGAGAAGAAAGGGCGCCTTATCTGCAGAGTCCCCACTTGCAGAATATACCTTAAAAGGGGACCCCAGATGGTGACATGCCTGAGATACGCCTATGAAACTTGAAGTACGCATTCAAGGGGCGATTTGGAAGGTGTAGGATTCTATCCCTATCTTGGCAACGGATGATCGCTATCTGATATCACAGGATAAAACCTTACATGCGTTTTTTTGACGCACTTCTGGTGAGTGCGTAATTTTTACCTCAGATTCACCATGTGCTACACAGAATCTTATCCCACGCACCTACTAGGATCGTTTGGATCCCCACGTTTGATTTATTTTGGGACTGTTATTCATCTCACTCAACTTCACCGCAGTGTGATTTGATATTTGCACTTCAGTGTTTTTATATATATTTATATGTCATATATGCCAATTTATTATAGCACTGCACCTTATATATGGTTTTATATATATATATGTTTATGTAATTGTCTATCTAGATTGGATGTTCGTCATTCATAAGAATAGTGTCAATATGGAAAATACCATATTATGGCCACTAGATGGGCCCAATGATCAAAAAACTATTTCCTATGATCACCATCCACATCTGGTTGCAATACTGCAATATTTCCTTGATTCTTGCTATTCGTATATATTAAGAATATCCATCCTAGAGTGGAAACTGCCTACTGACTTCCTAACTTAACAATATTGCCAGCATTCACACAGAACACATATACACGCAGTTTTGCAGCACAAATAGCTGCAGTTTTTTTTTTTTAATAAATACACCCCTAAGGGTTAGGGGGATTCCAGTAGCCATTTTGTTCTATACAGAGCAGCTTCATGTGTGTGCTGATCACCTACAGCAAATGGCAGAACTTAGGAACATTAACGAAGCCCAGAGTAAAACAGAACAGCAATGCAAGTACATGCAACTCAAAAAATGAATATTGCACAGCAAATATGCTAACAGTAGATGAACTTCCACTAAAATTATTTACCTGGTAATTCTACTACATCTCAAAATTTTGATGACATTCTTAAGGTAAAATAGTAAAAATATTTGGAATAAAAAAAAATTTAAAGTTTAAAATGCCCTATAGCAATTCTTGTCACTTATGGGAGCTGTATTACAGAGCGCATTGCAGATTTAAGTTTAACACTTACAGTATATTTACACATTTACAAAACTGGTAGCAGACAAATCCTAATTAACTTCACAAAAGGTTTTTCTTCATTGAAGGTCATAATCTTAAATCAGTTTTTACATGGCCTGGAAAAACAGCATTGTCCATCTTCTCTTTTTCCCAGTTTTAGAGGTCTAAAACAAAGGTTAACTAAAAGTTAAAAAAAAGTTGATTACAATACCAATACAGAGAAAACAACAATGAATAATAAGATAACTTAACATCTGCAGAGTCAGCATATTTTTTGCAATATATATAGGTCAAATGTCAGCTGCGTTTGCAAGCCTTGCAGCACTAAACAGAGGTTAAGTTGTACTCCCCTCCCCCCTCTACTTTTAGCTTAGAACTATAGCATACCACTTCAAGATAATCATTAGTTATTATCAGTGGTGCTTTCTGAAAGACAGATGGGCCCAACATATGATCTTGCACACAGGCCCACTCATACAAAGTGCAAAATACACAATGCACTGCAGCAAGAAAAATGACTGTGGCTTTCAACTGCACTGAATATTGGGTATAGTAAAAAGGAATGTAGAGTTCAGTTGTCAGTAGCAAGTGACACAGAGGTCAGGAAAAAGTGATGTAATCATATTGTGCTTAAAGCAGTAGTAAAGCTTGTGTGTAAAAATAATAATAATAAAAAAAAAACAACTTTTCCCCTGCAAGGCAATGTCATAATGTGCTAGGATGCACCACATCCTAGCACATTATGTAAAACTTGCCTTAAAATGAAGCCTTCCAGCGGCATGCTGTCACTGCTAACAAGGCTTCCATCTTCACCTGATCCTTCTTCCGGGTTCCCAGGCTCGGTGGCTTGAATGGCCGAGGCACGATGATGACGCATGTGAGGGAGTCACTTTTTTACGGCACACAGCTCTACAGGAAGCATGCGTCGGAGCTGCTGTACAAGTGAATATCTCCTAAACGGTGCATGTTTAGGAGATATTTACAGTACCTACAGGTAAACCTTATAGGCTTACCTGTAGGTACAAGTAAAAAAACAGACTTTACTACCACTTTAAAACAACTGAACCAAATGGGCAATTTGATCAATAAATTATCCCTTTCAAATAGCATTTAGTCTTGAAGGAAAACCTTATATGAATTTGGTTAGAACCAATTTTTCACTGTTGTGATGGCAAACTCCCTTTCTTTAGCCCCTTCATGATGAAGATAAAACTAATCATAATGTCTGAACACAGTTTGCATCTGACATGTGTTAGTAAAATTGTACTTGTCATGGCTGCTACTATAAATTGGGCTTTCATTTGGTGGTAAATAGTAATAGATATCTCCTGATTTTCTTTTGTTAGCAAAAGAAAGCTGGCACAAAATGGTAAAAAAAAAATAATAAAAAATTATATTGTATATTTCTATTATCATAGCCTACCACTAAAGAACAACCCAAAATAAATCCTCCTCGCAGCCATACCACATAGATGTATGTTATTTGTTGTTTGTGGTGGTAGTAAGACCCAGAAACAATAGGCAAAAGCAAAGCAAAATGTGCACTAACACACTGACACAGATACTAAATTATAAAATTTTTTTTATCCTACCTAAAAACTACACTGACCCTGACCCAGCCACTGACCTAGATCAAACCTTGATCTAGTTCTTTTTAAAACACATTTTGTTTACAATTTTCTTTGCTAGAGAGGAAAAAAAAAATGTATAATCTATTTTTCTCCAATGATGGGGAGAAAAGACAGGAATGGGGTTGTACAGTGGTTATCACAGTGACCAAGTGATCAGAAACCTGGCCTCCTGATCATTCGTACAAGATCCAGAGCTATTTCACAGCTCATTCTCTGTGCTGGGAACATGCTATGCAGCACACTCAAATATATAGCAGCAGGTCCGGTAGGCAGGGAGAGCAAAGATCTGCAGTTGGCCTCAGCAGTTGCCAATCACAGTCCTCTTGCCCCCACCCCCCACGCACCCAATCTCCTCCCCATACACAAACAATGGAGGGATCTTTGCTGCAGCTGTGAGGGACAATCACAGCTGCAGCAAAGACACAGGACTGAACGGCATTCCTCACACTTGTGCAATGTGTGAGGGCATAGTGAGCCCCCCACACGTCTGTGTGCATTACAAATCGGTATCATATGCTCTGTAGATGCATCTTGAATTAGAATATCTTCCAAATCCTGCCAGTTCACATAACTGTCTCCTTCATAGGCAATTTGGCAAAAGGTTCTTACATATATTAAAGTGTAAGTCTCTATTTAGTGGATGTACACTGAGTGGCCTTGGATGTCCCCCAAGTATAGAATTATGAAGCATATGCCCCTGAGTCCTTGCACAGACTTATTTTGGGGATTGGGGGGAAACTGTAGTGATTTTATGAAGTTTTTTTAAGCTGCATAGACATGAGAGTATTGCATAACAAATGATAATAAATTCCAAATTGTAATAGTTTGTGCAAAGATGTGTACGACAAGCAAAAAGTGTATGGCAAGCAAAAACTACTATTTTACACATCTTAATAATTTTTGCTGGTCAAAACTAATTTCCATGGTTTCTCATTTTAGAAATGCCCCTACTGATATGACATCTACCAGTTAGTTATCAACTGCACTTACCTTGCAAGATTTCCAAGATTTTCCACGTCCTCAATTGTTTCTTCTGGCAAGGATATTCCCATTGTTTCAGGTAGCAACATAACAAGACCGCCGCATACGAGAGCAAGGATTCCTGAACAGAAATCAATAAAAGAGTAGCATTTAGTTTTTTTTTATGTTCCTTAGGCTCCATTTACACCACTATACTGTCTTAACAAGAGTTCATGGATGCAGTGCAATTTATTCTGAATGGCACCTCAATAATGCACCTTGCCAACAGACATGCATACACCACAAAGCATAGTAACACTACAGTGTGTTGTAGTGTGCTGCATTACAAAAATGCACCATTTTTGGTGCATTTTAGTACATCAGGCAGCCCATTCAGATGAATCAGCAGCCTTAAAGTATAACTCCATGCACAAGAAAAAAAATTTGTACTTTAAGTTTGGTTAAAAACCCATAATATAAAAGAAAAAAAATTAAAAAAAACTGATAAATTTGCAGACAATTTTACATTTAGTGGCAAATCATGACGTCTAGTTTTTTCAATATTTTATTTGTTTTCAGCATACCAAAATACATGGAAATTAGATGAAAATAATCAAACAGCTTTTTAGTCGCAGACCTGTGTTATCCTTTAAGTCTACTTTAACCACTTCCTGACCGCCCTACAGCAGAAATACTGCTACAGGGCGGCACGGGTGCGCAAATGCACATCTATATACACGTGATTTTGCATTTACAGGTAGGGGGAACACACCATTTGTGGGCTGTCAATCACCGGGTCCCGGACAGTGATTACTCGCTGGCGCCCGGTAATTACCGAAGATTTCTGATGGGAAGGAGAACTGTGTTGTTTACTAACAGTTCTCCTCCCTGTCAGCTCGGGCACACTGCTTTGGATGGCTGTGCACAGCACAGCCATCCAAAGCAGTGTGCTTACAGTGAAGCACATAGTAAAACACAACCAGCACAGAGTTAACCCTTTGATTGCCCCTCATGTTAACCCCTTCCTGCCCAGTGCCATTAGTACAGTGTCAGTGCTTTTTTTTTTAGCACTGATCGCTATATGTGTGTCACTGGGGATGTCAGTGACACCAAATCAGTTCCCCCCAGTGTCAGAATGTCCGCCTCAGTCCCGCTATATGTTGCTGATCACCGCCATTACTAGTAAAAATTAAAAAATAAAATCCCAGTATATATACCTTCATTTGTAAATGCTATAACTTTCATGTAAGCCAATTCATTTACACGTATTGGGATTTTTTTTAGCAAAGACGTAGCAGAATACATTTTGGCCTAAATATATGACGAGATTAAATTTTTATAATTTTTTTTTACTAGACATGTTTAATAGCAAAAATGTTGTTTTTTTTCTCAAAATTGTTGGTCTTTTTTTTTATAACGCAAAAAACAAAAAACACACAGGTGATCAAAACCACTGAAAGAAAGCCATAATGCAAAAAATGGCCTGGTCAGGAAGGGGGTAAATCCTCAGGAGGGCAAGTGGTTAATGAGCATTTAACCATTGCAATGTTTACTGTGGCAAGCACAAGCAGGGAACTATTAGAAATGGGAGGTTGTTTTTGTCTGCTTCCCATTCCTACTTTTTTTAAAGTGGCAATCATTTTACCATTTAGGTTTTGGGATGTATATGTTCTACAATGTGTTTATTTTTGCAGATTAAATTATTGTATGACCATTACAAAATTGTACAAGCTCACCAAATATAATGAGCGGCAGCTCCACCCATATTTCAACCAATCGGAATAGCAGAAACGGTGCAATAATTCCTCCTAAATCACACATTCCTGAGCATAACGATACACCAAAATTTCTACAAGGCAAAAAAAATCAAGGACATTTAGAAAGAATGAGGCAGACTTTGCTTATTCCCAAGAAGCTGCACCAAGCACAATAATTATTAAGCAAATATCATTAAAGTGCTGACAATGGATCAATGTAATGGTTGTGAATGCTACAGCCGTTTTTGTGAAGAGAGTTGCTGCTTATAGTGTTCCTGTGCCTCTTACTGGCAAGTCTAATTTTTAAACTCTGTACAGCTATTCTTCCACAGTGTACCATAACTTTCTAGTTCTGAAGCAGAGGGAAAAAAATTGGAATCCCATGCAGTGGTAACTTTCACTATTCAGATCCTGCCACAGATTTATTGTTTTGGACAGCACGAGAAAGGGCTAGAAGATCTGCAAGAACTTATTTTTACTCTATGACCCTATTATTCAACTTCTTTCACTGCTGTGATCTGTGTCAATCAGTATGATTTAGTGTAGGCACACATAGTACGAGCGTGCTGGATAATGGACTGCATTTTAACTGATATCATTTTGTATGAAAATACATCTATGTGCACTGGGGCTATAAGTGCTAGTTACCAAAGTTTTCAGAGGCTGATGTTCATTTATACATTCCAGGATCCTTCTACCTTACTGTCACAGCTATTTTATCAACAGCCTTATAGTTACTCTCCTGTTCATACTGTGTGTTAACACAGAAAATCAGAACCACTATTATAAAATTGTCCTAAGGCATCTTGATCAGCTAACAGAAAGCTTCTACTTTCTATAATATCTTAATGCTGGTAGTACCATGTTGCCATTGTAAGACTGATTACAAGTAATTTTCTGATAAACACAGTACACCATACAATGTGCTACACAAAAAAAGTTCTTTGTGTATTTATTTGCAAAATGCCCTGGTGCAAACTGCATTCCAAATGAATAAAGAGATGATTGAAGCTACTTTTCTTTTAAAACAGATCAATAACCAATGAAGAAGTCATAAAGTCAGGGATCTCTACTGCTGATTGCATTGATTAGATAAGCCATTTCTTACCTCAGTTCTTGATTACAATAAAGCCGGCCATAATCTCGGCAGGTTCACCAGGGACCAGCTGAGATTCAAACCATGTATATGCAGGCTGAATGTACCCAAGTTGATCAATCAGCCTGATTTTACATGTGATTATTGCTAGCGGATATTATAGCCGTTAGCAGTAATGATTATTTATTTATTACAGGTACTTATATAGTGCTGTCAATTTATGCAGCGCTTTACATGTATATATATATTGTACATTCACATCAGTCCCTAACCCTCAAGGAGCGTACAAGCTAAAGTCCCTAACTCACACTCATACTAGGGCCAATATTGACAAGAACCAATTAATCTACCAACATGTCTTTTGGCGTTAGGAAGGAAACCAGAGTAACCGGAGGAAACCCACACAGGCATAGGGAGAAAATGCAAACTCCAGGCAGGTTGTATTGTGGTTGGGATTCAAACCAAGGACCCTAGTACTGCCAGGCAGAAGTGCTAACCATTTAGCCACTGTTCTGCCCAGTAATAACTGTGTTCTCCTGGCGGGGACAGTTCTCCCTGCCAACAGAGCACAATGGCTCCATGGGAGGGATTCCTCATCAACATTGACTGTAATGATGGGGGAAACTGGTGATTTTCTTTCCTGCAACCTGTAGTTGCAGGAAAGAAAGTCACTCCATCTATGGCCAGCTCAAGTCCTATAGACAAATCTTAAGAAGCCTGCGTAAATGAAAACTGGGAATCTAATTGCCTTACATAATCTTTTGAGAAGCATACAATGCAAACGAATGCATCTTAACACATTTAACTATGTTAAGAATCCCGTTCAGAATTACATAACATGGGAGCAGTGTATAGATTTGTAGTTCCTTGGGTATTTACAGCAGCCAGATGCAAACAAGGGGGTTAACACACTAAGTGAGAAATGACTGTTCACTTAATAAATGTAAGACAAATAAAATGTATACATAGCCTTTCGTGATAGAGTGGGTAGGGGCTATTTAAACCCATTTTGCAGGCTGTGCCCCATTGAGAAGATTTAACGTCCCTTTCGTCCCAAAGAGAAAACAGGAAGCGAGAGGAGATCTGCACCAGTCAGGCGAAAACTCCATTCTTAGACAGCTGTCACCAGAAAAGGTGTGGATCTTTCATTACTTTCTGGCTCAGACAATTAGGGAGGTGAGTCTATATAGCCGGACACAAAGCAATAAAAACATGAAAGTGTTTTACAGTGTAAAATTAAGGCAAAACCTTTTTTGTTTTGGAGAGGAATTAGAACACTTGTCAGAATTTTATTGCTATCTGTGACCCTGCTTTCACCCTTTATTTGTACTGTTTACCATTATCACTGAAAGTGAAAGAAAGTCCCAAATTTTGAGTTGTCAGTAAACCAAGAACAGAAGAAGTCTTCCAGTGGGTCACTAGTTCCAGTAACCCTGGGGACAACAAGGGATTACCATTCACTTCCTGTTTCATTCTGGTTGCTATTGGACCTGAAATGAAGGTAAATCTCATTAATGGGAAAAAAAAACACACACACCAGGTGCATGTGTTATAGCTTTTTCTTACGCTATCCCAAAAAAAAAGTTTAGCCTTTAGTTCTACTTTAATCCATTTCACTATATCTAGAAAAAACGTTTGAAATATAAATACACTGAAATGAAAAGTAAATTCCTGTTCTTATTTGAAAATGCAGTCATATGCAGGAGAATGTAACCAGAACACTTTACTTTGCCAAATTCCCACTAACTTTACAGAGAAAAATGTTTTACTTTAGTAAATCAACCACGTAGTGTGCCACCACAATCCACCAGTTTATACCACTCAAACTTTACAAGATAACTGATTTAGTGTAGGTTTAAACGTAGCAGTGAAAATTCTGCCATGGGTAGCAAATAAGATTTGGACAGAGCTTCTATCAGCTACGCATGAAGCTGCTCTTTGTTAGTACAGGCTTTAAAAGTGGAAACCAAATGGGTATGGCAAAATTCCTATTTAACATGACCATGTAAACAAGATCTAAAGTTTTTATTTATGCGAGAAAGTAATTTGATAGTGGGTGATTTTCAATGATCCTGTTATTATAGTAGAAACACTTAAATAGTGTACCATAAAAGAAAAATTTTGTTTTAATTACCTCAGTGGTGTTGGATAAAGTTCTGTATTAATGAAGTATACTATTTCAAAAGCCATTGTGATTCCCAGTCGTCCTAGTGTGGCCAACGTTATTTTAAGCCACATGACATCTGCAAACCATTAAATATTTATGAAAAGTACTTTTTATACAAGATACACTTACAAATAATAAAACCAGTTTATTTAAAATCAAAAACTCAGACAAAAACTCAAGCTATACGAATAGCTATTGTGTGCCTTTAATATTCTGGCCACAATGCTTGACAATAGGCATTATTGCTTTGCACACATTTCTCTAGCATGGGTCTCCTTTAAAGTGCTACTAAACCTACAACAGTAAAATCAGTCCTTATATGCAGTGAAGCATGCTTGTTATACACACTATGGAACTTAAGGGGTTAATCCTTCGCATTGTGTAAAAAGGCTGTTTGATCCTGTCTTCTCTTATCCTCCCCTTCATCCACAGTCCACAATCTATGTACAGAGCCCTAGGAGGAATTCTGCACATGCTCAATTTGGTGTGTACTGCTAGAGAGTTATTTTTTTGGGGGAGGGTGCAATCAGCACTGTCCAGACAGAGTCAGGGGTCATGCAGCCTCAGAGGAGAATGAGAACTATTCCTACAAGATTAACCAGTGCTCAGCCGTACAATGATAGAACTCACAAGACTGCTATATACTGCTGATGATGAAAAGGTATTTAGCAGTTTATATTTATTAAAATAATTGCATTTCTATGTTCTGTGTACTGTCGGAGACCAGATAAAGTGTTACTAAACCCAGGACCCTACATTCACTATAAGTTTACTGAAAATATGTTTGCACTATTAATTCTATTTTACACAAACATTAAAATTGCTGGTGTGCATTTGTGTGCAGGTGTCTTCTAAAATCACTTTGGAGTGAAGTAAAAAGTTTCCACAAAGTGTCCACGATCCAAAACAAACTAGAACATGGTTTTCACAAGCTACTTCTAGTTATAGTTAACTTTTTAGCCTCATATTCATCTTATGCCGTATTAATTTTAGGAGGAAAATAGTTCTTTATAGTAATGTACAATATCACTAAAGATTGGTTGCTCAGCATGTATTAAAAAAAAAAGATATCACTCTTATATTCACAGTGACGAATGTCCTTTAGTAAAGTTACTGATCCTTGGGTTTGTGTTTATACCTTTTGGTATTGCAGCAGTTATTAGGCAAGCTATTCCTGCTCCAGCATTACTCAATGCAAATGGAAGTTTCCTCCCAATGCGATCAATCGAGACTAGAATAAGAACAGCAGCCGGTAACTCCACCACAGCAGAAATAAAAAAATCTGTATATAGATTCCCAGATACAATCCCTAGACGCATAACAAGACCCTGGTAGATAACTGCACTTGTAAACCTGAAAGAAAAAAAAAATTACTGTTAGAAACAAAAAAAGGTGCACATATATGATGACCAGCAAGCATTTTTCCCCAAAATATATGAAGAACATAAATGTCAATATTCAGTCAAAGAAATGTCATGCACAATGCTTCTAGAAAGCATTTGAGGGCTATAGCAGTTATTCATAAAACTATTTGTCAGCTCGCCAAGCCTGTGTTCAAGCAGCATGAGAACATTCTTTTTTAAAAATTAACAGGCTTAATTTAACACAAGTCTGCTGGGCAGGCAAGCCTCCAATAAATCACCCGTGTTCAGGTAAGATTAAAAATAAAGGCCGACAAGAGCCGAGACATCCAAAGCTTCTATAATTTCTAATGTTCAAGAGATAGAAGAGTGAACAGACTGATGTGGCCTTTCAGTGCTTGTTTTAGGTTGTGAGTTTGTGTACTAATTAAATGCTTTCTTACTACAGCCATATCACCCGACTCTCCTGAAACAGATCCCTGGTTAACCTAAAAATCGTGGCCTACATTTGTTTCTCATTAGCAAACATAGCTTGCCAATCTTCAGTAACTACTGTTTTACTGGACAGTAGTCTGGCCTAGAAGTGCTCTACAGCCCTGGGGCCCAACCTGCAGTCCTTTGACACTTTTTGTGTGGTCCTTGGGGCCCCTGCTAATCTGCATTTCCTTGGTGTCCTGTTGTAGCAAATATTTATAGCAGCCTGAAAGATGTCTCCAGTCTAAGACCGTATCCTAAAACATGTCCCCAGTCTCCAACAAATCCACAGTCGTTTGACCATCTCCTGTATCATGTCTGCAATCTGACTATCTCCTGCATCATGCCCACAGTGACTATATCCTGGTTGTGTGCATGCTGTCTCTGATGAGTATTTACTGAACATTATGTGTGGCCCTTTGGTGATGTCAGGGGCAACATTTGAGGCCCCCAAACCAAGAAAGTTGACCACTACTGTTAGAGAATGTTCCTTGCAGGTCGGCTTGCATTTGATTGACTTCCGCATAAAAAAGGTTAGATCTTCTATGAGACTACTTTTCAAAACCTGACAGCCAGAATTTAATGTCAACCAGATTGTAGTTATACTACTGAAGGGAAGAATGGCTTTCTGAAAATTGGGTAACATGTCTAAAAGTCAGAATGGACACTTCCAGAAGAAGGAACATAAGCAAAAATTAAGAATTAGGTTTTTGGAGCCAGAAGGTGCCAAAAATCTCAGATATAATGTTGTTCCATTTCAGAAGTTAGTTTTGATCAGTTTTGACAGACTGGTAGCATCTATGATGTATTGGAGCATCAGTCCTCTACCTGTTCTAAACAAAGACATGGGTTTACCCTGAATACATGAAATGAGGCCCTACTCCCCAACATTCAGGAACACTTGTGAACGTAAGCAACACCTTTTCAGTAACCTCCTAACACTTTCTAAGAGACTCTACTTTTAAGCATTAACAGCTATGTAGAGAGGAAATCACCTTCATTCTAAATAGCAGATGAGATATGCAAACATCTCACTTTGGGCCTCAAACTGAATATGTAAAAGCTCCCAAGCTGCATTTGACATTCTAGCCTGGTCTTGCCCAAAAAATGGCATCTAACACCACCTAACCTCTGCTCCGCCTACAGTTTTAGGAGCTTAAGGAGATGAGCGCTACATTCTAGTTATTCATTATTTGCATTTCTTTAATATTCTCATTTTACTCCACATAATTTGCTTGCAATGCCAGATCTTACCCTCATTCTCACTGCCAGAACTTGCATACCCGTTACTTGTGACAAGGGCACCACAAAACGTAGTTTACTGCTGTAGTGTGGTGTACTTTATTATCTGCATCTGAAACCCACTGCTGACATATTGATTAGTATACCCTAGTCCCCAGAAAAGTGAATACAAAATTTGTACAGACTGTATGCTGCATCCACAGTCAAGGGAGTAAATCTGAAAGGTCTCAATACTCCAATGAGGTTAATAAGCAATAGACAACAGAAACCATGTTTATAGAACAAATTTGCCATTTGCAAATATGTGGAAGTCTGGAACCTGGCTTCATGAATCCGACACAGCTTCTCCTGCTTCCCTCTTCCATGGTGATCTTCTCTGGACTCACTACCCCAGTCCCAGTGGACAAAAGGGAGGTGAAGTGGAAATCCTTCTAGCCCCACAAAGCAACTATCAGGTATTTCACACTCCTCCCTTTCTGACACTCTCCTTTTGAGGCACATTGCATTCATCTATTTTCTCCAGTTTCGCTAAGAACTGCTGTGATCTACTGGCCCCCTGAACTGGTGTCAATATTTCTTGATGACTTCTCTGCCTGGCAACCCTACTTTCTCTTTTCTGAAATTCCCACAATCAGTCATTCTCGGTGACTTCAACATCCCTGTTAATACTAAAACTCCTGCTACTTCTAAACTTCAGTCTAACCTCTTATTTGACCTGAAGCAATAGATACACGCTTCTACACACTGATGGCAACACCCTTGACCTTGTATTCTCTTACCTATGTACACCGTGCAACCTCTCCAACAATCCATTTCCTCTCTGATTACCTTATTAGTTTTACTCTCTCCTGTCTTCCACTGCCTCTCCCTCCAACTGCCTAACAGTTACCCGTAAAAACTTGTCAACCCTCCTCTTCTCTACTCTGCTATTGACCACCTCTATGACAAAATTCATCCCTGTTTTACTCCAACATAGCCACTTTTGTTTACAATAGTTCTCTGTCATTCCACAATTCTCTAAAACTCAGGGGGTAGGTAACCTTTCAAGGTTGAGATCTACCTGGACAACATGAGGGAAATCAAAGATCTTCAAGGATGAGGGAGTGTACGGCGGCATTACCCTTAGAAAAAAAAAATTTGAAACCCCCAAACAAAAGATGGCATGAACAACACAGTGTGTCACAGCAGTGTTTCCTGCCCCGCTTTTAAATCACCCCCCACAGTAGTATCCTCTGCTACCCTCCACAGTGTTCTCCTCTGCCTCCTTTAATACCCCCCCCCATCCCCAGTGATGTACGCTGCCCCCCCCCACTCTAGTTTTCTCAGCCTTCCTCTCACAGTATTGTCTGCTGCCCCTCCCACACGGTAGTGCCCCCCCCCACACACAAAGAGTAGTGTCCTCTGCCCCCCCACACACACACAGTAGTGTCCACTGCTTCTCCCCATAGCAGTGTCCTGTACCCCACCAAAGCAGTGTCCTCTGCCATTCCCCCATAGCAGCGTCCTCTGCACCCCGCCACAGCTCCCCCCAAAGCAGTGCCCCACCACCCTCCCCCCACTGTAGTGACCTTTGCAACCCCCCACACACACGGTAGTGTCGTCTGCTTCCCCCCATAGCAATCTCCTGTGCCCCCCCTAAGCAGTTTCCTCTGCCATCCCCCCCCCCCCATAGCAGAGTCCTCTGCACCCCCTCCATAGCACTGCCCTCTGCATCTCCCATAGCATTGTCCTGTGCCCCCCCAAAGCAGTGTCCTCTGCCATCCCCTCCCACATAGCAATGTTCTCTGCACCCCCTCCATAGCACTGTCGTCTGCATCCCCCATAGCAATGTCCTGTGCCCCCCCAAAGCAGTGTCCTCTGTAACCCCCAAAGCAGTGCCACCTGCCCCCCCCAGCAGTGTCCTCTGCACCCCCTACATAGCACTGTCCTCTGAACCCTCCATAGTAGTGACCTCTGCCCCCCTTCTACAGCACTGTACTTTGCCCCACCCATATGGTAGTCTCCTCTGCCCCTCCCCCCCACACACACACATACACGGTAATGTCCTCTGCCCTCCCTCATGATAATGTCCTCTGCCCCTCCAAAATGGTGGCCCTGCAGTGATCTCTCCTCCCCCCTCGCCCCACTGTACTTCCCTCCCATAGCAGTGTCCTCTGTCATCTCCCCCCCCCCCCCCCACAGTAGTGTCCTCTGCTTCCCCCCATATCAGTGTCCTGTGCCCCTCCAAAGCAAGTGTCCTCTGCACCCCCTCCCCGTACTGTAGTGCCCTTTTGCTCCCCCCATAGCAGTGTCCTCTGCCATTACAACCCCTCCCACCGTAGCAGTGTCCGCTGCTCCTCCATAGCACTGTCCTCTGCATCCCCCCCACAGTAGTGTCCTCTACCCCCCGACCCCCCAATTGGTTGTCTTCTCTTCTCCCCCCTCACAGTAGTGTCCTCTGCCCCCCTCAGCATAGCACTGTCCTCTGCGTCCCCACCCCCCACAGTAGTGTCCTCTGTGCCCCCCCCCTCGGTAGTGTACTGTGCCCCCCTCCCAAAGAAGAGTTCTCTGTCCCCCACAAGTAGTGACATTTGCCCCCTTCACAACACACAGCCGTGTGTAGGTATATCTCTCATACCTTACACTGGCTGTACATCAGGGTGGAGTGAGAGGCAGCACAGTGCTGGATGGAGGACGGGGAGCTACCAGAGTAAATTTTTCATGTGGACCGCCTAGCAACCAATCACCTGCTCCTGTGCTCTCGCCCTCCATCCAGCACTGTGCTGCCTCTCGCTCCACTGTGCTAATAAAAGGAGAGAGACAGAGGCTAGGGGCATTGCCCTGATCGTCATCTACACGTTGGCCTCCCGCAATTGACAGGTAGATTGCGATCAATGGGTGGCCGACTCCGGGTCTAAAACATGGCTTAATCACCCCCCCCCCTAATTAAAAAGCCTTCCTTGGACCCCACCAATCTAAACAACCTATGCCCCATCTTCTTGCTCCTTTTTTCCTCTAAGCTCCTTCAATGTCTGGTCTACAACTAACTGAGCTATCATCTTACTGACAACAATCATCTTGATTCCCTTCAGTTTGGATTTCGCCCTCAACACTTCACAGAAGCTGGTCTCCTAAAACTCACAAATGATCTACTAATGGCTAAAACCAATGGACACTATTCTGTACTCCTACTCCTGTAGCTCTCTGCTGCCTTTGACATGGTGGACCACTGCCTTATCAAAAAAATTCCTTTGGTCCTCGTGACTGCACTCTTCGCATCCTGCCTATCTCACCACACATTCAGTGTCAGTTACAACTCTAATTCCTCTTCTCTTTCTTTCTCTGGCGGGGTGCCCCAAAGTTCTGTTCTTGGACCTCTCCTATTTTTGATCTACACCTCCTCCCTGGGCTAGTTAATAGCCTCCCATGACTTCCAATACTATTTCTATTCTGATGACACCCAAATCTCTCTACCCCTCTGCTTACATCATTAGTTTCTGCAAGCACCACTAATTTACTAACAGATATATCAGACTGGATGTCACAGCTCTTCCTCAAACTCAATCTACCCAAAACCTGCCCCTTTCCAACTAATGACACCACAAAGCGCCTAGTCTACCCTAGTCTACTGGTCATCTTGACTACTGCAGTTCCCTCCTCACTGACTTACTTTTACATAGGCTATCCTCCCTTCAGTTCATGAATGCTGCTGCCAGATTCATCCACCTTACCAACCGCTCAGTGTCTTCTACCCCCCTCTGCCAATCCTTCCACTGGTTTCCGCTTAATCAAAGAATTAAATTCAAAATACTACCTTACAAAGCCATCCACAACTCTGCCCCCAGCTACATCACTAATCCAGTCTCAAAATACAAACATAATTGTTTCCCCCAAGATCTCCTGCTCTCTAGTTCCCTTGCAACCTGCTCTCATGCTCGCCTCAAGGGCTTTTCCCAATCAGCTCCCATCCTCTAGAACTCCCTACCCCAATCTGTTCGATTATCTCCTACGCTGTCCATTTTTTAGACGATCCCTGAAAAACATTAAAGTCTTTAATCTTTAAACCAGCGCTCAGCATAACATGCCTAACTTAAAGTGTTACTAAACTCACAACAGTAAAATCAGTCTATATATGCAGTAAAGCATGCTTGTTATACTCACTGCGGAACCTAAGGGGTTAATCCTCTGCATTGTGTAAAAAGGCTGTTTGATCCATTCTTCTCTGCCCCTCTTGTTGAAATGACCACCTGATATAGACTGAACCCGTGGTCATATGCACATGCTGAGTTTGGTGTGTATTGCTAAAGAGGTTTTTTTCTTTTTTTTCTTGGGAGGGTGCATGTGACCAGCACAGGGCCAATCAGCACTGCCCAGACATAAGGTCAGGGGTTTCACATCTCCTAGAGCAGAAAGAAAACTCCTCCTACAAGCTTTAACCAGTGCTCAGCTGAAGTCACAAGACTGCTCTAACTGCTGATGAGAAAAGGTATTTAGCAGTTTATATTTACTAAAATAATTGCACTTCCATGTTCTGTGTACTGTGGGAGACCAGATATAGTGAATGCAGGGTCCTAGGTTTAGTAACACTTTAAGCTGGGTACATGGTCCGAATACCCATCGTTCAGCAGGAACCGGCCGGCATTTCGGACCATGTGTACAGCTGTCCTTCTGACAGAAGCTGGTCTAAGGACTGGCTTTTGCCGAAGCGTCATACTGGAAAAACAACATCCGCTTATTAGTGTGTTCTGGTAGGGGGGGGGTCAGCCCCCTGCCACAACACATAGCACAGCAGGAGAGACTGCTGCACTAACATTGCTAGTTAGTACAGAGATCTCAGTTTTTTGTTCAACCCAGCGTTAAGTTGCAGTATTCATAACCACGTAAAGACTAAATTCAGACATGTCTAGTCCTAACAGAATATCCAAGACTCATGTCAAACTAGCCTGTATTTGGGGACAACACACCAGTGACAGGATTTCTAAAGAAGTAAAAACCTACTCCTAGGATGTCACTCTCTTGCTGGCAAACACTGCTAAGGTATGGCCCTGTTGCTCTCCGCTAGCTAGCAAATGAGATCCTGCAACTCTTTAGTCAGCAAAGGAGCAAAACCTTAGGAGCAGATGAGTGCTCTTAGCAACTATTATCAAGTTGTTACCAACAGGAGCTTTAACCTGGGTACAGACTAAGAAAATCAGAAAACAATTCCGTATGAAGAATGATCGGTTGATTATCTGTTAGTAAAGTGCTTTCAACAGCCAATTTCAACTGTTTGAATAAAAAAAAAAAAAAAAAAAGGTGCAAGCTAGAAAGATTTTATTATATATGAACACAACGTCCGATTTTCACTTAATGTGTACAGTAATCATACAGAAATAGAATAGAAAGAAAAAAGAAACATACGCGATGAGAAGCAAAGACCCCGAAAAAGGTGGAAACAAACATAGAAATCGTACACAAGAAAGAATATTTACCTTTGCCATTTTAGAATTTTCGTACAAGATAATACCACTGCTGGTTATATTATACTTTAGTGTGACACTGCCTGCCAAGCCTAAATTGCAGAAAAACACTGCTCTAATTTTTTTTTATGGATTTTGTAATCAGTCTTACCATGCATACATAAGAATTATTGTACACTTTCTCATCTGTGGAGTTCTGACCAGATCCATGCATGCAGGATTGGTAACTTCTTCATCAGATACAGTTATCTAAACAGAAACAGAATATTACGTTGACAATAACAATTATGCCACACTGCCAAAAGTTAATTAAAGGTCATCTAAAAGGTTCAAAAGAACTGCCTCTCTCAATGGCTTTATTTTTTTTTCACCATAGCAGGAAGGTTTTCCCAAATTCGTAGAAAGAGGACTTTTATTGGCTTGTAATTTCAATATTTTGAAGTACAGTACATGGTATCATTCATACACAAGTTATAGGTTCAAATCTTTAGGTGACTGAACACTGGCAAGCTTTTGAGGACACACCTTCCTGAGGCACCTCCCATATACCCTACCTCAATTTGTTAGTCCTCAGTTTTGTAGCAAGCAACATGGGCAGTAACAAAAACTTAGGAAGGGTAGCCTGTGTCCTGTACTCTAAAATATGGAATTCTCAAGTAAGTCAAAGTTCCTCTGATCTAGGGTACAAGGCAAATGGAACTATGTCAACATTCCTCTGATCTAGGGTACAAGGCAAACGGAACCATGTCAACAGGGCCCAAAAAGAGGGTCAACCCCAAATTTATAGTGTAGCTCCAAGAACCTTGGGTCAAAAGCCTTATCTGCAGAAAACTGGCATCCACCTATTGAAACTCAAACAGTGAACAGAAGACCAGGTGGTGGCCTTACAGAGTTGGGCGACAGAAGCATAGTGCCTAAAGGTCCAGGATGCTGTCAGGAATGGACTTGCCAGTAATGGTGGGACTCACCTGCCTTGTGGGCTGCAGTACCAGGGCTGGCCAGTGGGTGCTCCCAGCAATCAGAGACTCAACCCTGCAGCCAGCCAAACACCTGAAGTTGATCATGCAGGTGTATTTAAGGGATGGCCAGACCTGCAGTCTGGGACTTGGTGTGTGGTTTTCCTGGGCCCTGTATCTTGTTCCTGCATTCCTGTTCCTGTCCCTGTCTGATTCGTTGCTGACCCTGCCTGATCCGGACCTCTGCTGACTTCTCCTGTTTTATCCCTGGCTTGTGCCCCCGACCATTCTCTGCCTGACCCCCTGTACCTACCTGCCCGATTGTTATTGACCCGGCCTGCCTGACGACGCTTGCATTGTATGTACTGTTATCTGTGGGTAGTTTGGTTTGTTTGCACTGTGTTATGTTTTAGTATTGCACTGCGTTTATGTTTGTATTGTTAGTCTTTAATAAATTATATTGTTTATAACTTATCTGAAGCCTGCGTTTCCCTGCGTCAGTCACATACCTCTGGTCACACCCCAGAACCCTGACAGATGCTCCCAACAGATCTGGCGGATTGAGTGCTCAACAACGCATAAGGAGGCATTTGTTTTTGAGCATAAACTCTTGTAATCAAATTCCTTATTCACTGTGTAATGATGGATTTTTAAGCACATTGCCCCTTACGAGGTCCAGCCAAAAGAACAATCTGTTTTGGAAGCAGAAGCTTTTAGGTACACTCTGTTGGCTTTGACTACATCCAGGCAATGTACAGAGAATCTCTGGATGCTTAGGAGCAGGGCACAAGGATGGCAGAACAACGTCCTCATTGAGATGGAATGTTGAAATCAACTTTCAAAAGAAAAGATGGTCTTGGGCTTAATAGAACTTTACTGTTATGTATGAGGAAAAGCACTTTACAGGAAAGGTCCGCCAATTCAGAAAGATGCCCGAGATGTTATAGCAGCTAAAAAGAGCAATTTTGCTGACAAGGATCTCCAAGGAAATATACCTGAGGGGTTCAATGGGTGTTTCTGCAAGGCAGAGAGAACCAAATTAAGGTCCCAGGACAGCACTGGGTGCTGTAAAGGGGGTCAAATATGAGAAACCCCTTGGATTAAAGGTTTTAACAAGGGAATGCAAAGCCAAAGACCTTGGATGGATAAGGCAGATTTTTGCCCTTTTCAAGGTGCTAAGAGCCAGATTTTGGACAAGACCTGTTTGCAGGAAATCAGAATGGGAGGCACTGAGTAATCTCTGGGATTGAATGGACTACCGTCACACCAAGCGAAGTCAGATTTCTAGGTACGATAAGTCTTCCTGGAAGTAGCTTTTCTTGCTTTCAGCAAGATAGGAATCACAGACTCAGGAACCTTTCTATACTTTAATATCTGGGTTTCAACAGCCATGCCATTAAAGCAAGGTCAAATTGAGAGCCTTGTGATAACAGATCAGGCCTGTTGGGAAGAGACCAAGGGTCATCAGCTAGAAGTCAAGAGCATGTCTGTACCAGGTTCTTCTGAACCAGTTGGATGCCATAACCACTGTCTTCTTCCCTTGCATTATTTTGTGGCACAAGCGAGGCAGAATGCTCAAGGGAGGGAAGGCATAAGTTAACCTGAACCGAGACTAGGGAAAACCTAGAAACATCCAAGGCTGGAGGTAGAGGATCCCTGTTTCTGGATACAAATTGAGGTAGTTTCCTGTATGTGGAGGCTATGATACTGTCAGCACCTGTGGTAGTGAGCTCTTGTTGATAGTCAACCTGGGGTTCCCCAGGGCGCAGAGTCTAAGCCCCAGCCTGCTTCTTCACCAGAGCCCCTGATGGTGGGGATGGACTTGCAGCAAGCTGGGACAAGGTCGCGGCCCCCAGGTACGCCCAGCTGAGGAGACCGCTCGCGGGAGCAGAGTATAATGGGAGGAGAGAAATGGAATCTGATAGGCTAGCCGAGGTCAGGACAGGTGGAAAACAAGCAAGGTCAGAGAACAAAGCCAGGGCCGGTACACAAGTAGTCAATATAGGATTCAGGTAGTAGCAACACACAGGAGCTCAGACAACTAGGAAGTTGCTCAGGCAAAGTGGGCTTGACGGAGCTTGTCTATATAGACATGTAAACTAGGAAGTGGGCCAGGAAGTGATGGAAGAAGGAAGGAAATAAAACCCAGAGGATAGCAGATGACGCCCATAGGTGAGCACAGACAACCACAAATGTGAAAGGAACCAGGAGCAGCAAGGAGGTAAGAATAAACAAACAAGAGGCTGCAGGCTAACTTGTGACAGTACCCCCCCCCCCCCCCCCCCCCTTACAAGGTTTCCCTACTTTTTTAAAGCTAGGCTTAAGGGAAAACTTCTGATGACAAAATACCACCAGACGGGGTGCAGAAACATCAGTATAAGGAATACAACACCTCTCCTCAGGAGGGTACTCGTAGACTGATATTCTTGGTAGAGAGTCACACCTTGTCACCAGGGAAAAATTTGGGACTCACGCGGCGATGACAATCTGCAGCTACTTTGTACTTGGAAGCTGACAGATGTAAGTTCTTGGAAACATTTGCCTCAGAAGGGGTAAGAATGGGAGAACATAAGACAGGAAGCTGGGCTGGAGCAGACACCAATAACCAGGATGAAGGGTCTGGTGAGGAGGCTGCCAGGGAGCACACAGGAGTAGGTGTGAAGGCTTTGATTTGTACAGTAGGCAAGACAGGCTGTGCAGAACAGGGAACCTGGGGTAATACAGGGGACAGAGGGCACTGTAGGGTGTATGGGGGCGGAACAGGGGACAGAAGGCACAGTAGATACTAATGTGGAAACCACGGCTGAGTCCAAAGCAGCTGAAGGGTGTTTTGGGGTCTCAGCAGGCAGGGCACACGAAACTGGGAACTCCGATGATATAGAGGTCACAGATGTTGGGCCTCCACCCATCCAGAAAGTAGTGACATAGGAGCTCCGAGCTACACAGTATGTAAAGGAACTGATGGTTTGGGCAGCAAAGAGGGTAAGGGACTAGAGGTGGACAGCACCGGAAGGGGGCCCACAATAGGAGTAGGCAGGGGAGCAGCTTTACTACAAGAAACATCTTGTAAGGCCTGGCAATGTTGAGGGAGCATTGGAGAGGTGGTGGCCTCAGCCACGGGTACAGTGCGAGTCCAATTGCATTTTGACCCCCAAGACAATACTTGTCTAAAGTTCCAGTCAAGATTGGGTGAGTGTTTCTGCAACCATGGAAGTCCAAGAATGATGGGACTAGAAGACTTAGGGAGGATCAGGAAGAAGATTTCCACACAATGAAGAGCGCCAACATGTATAGTTATGGAGGTGTTTCGGAAGCGTAGAGGTCCTAAGGCCAAGGTAGAGCCATCAACTGTAGATATTGATTGGGGTATCATCAAGGGGACAAGAGGAATGCCCAATTCAGTGGCCAAAGACTGCTCGATGAAGTTCCCGGCTGAGTCCACATAAGCAGAAACCTGGTACGAGTTCAGGGCCCAATGAATGGCGACAGGTATGATAAATTGAGGGAAGGTGGCAGAATTCAGGTTTCTGGTCGAGATCACCTCCCTCAGAGTGACCTAGACCCGAGTTTCCCAGGCGGACAGAACAGGACTTAATTATATGACCTTCAGCCCCACAGTAAAGGCATAGACCAAATCTTAGGCGATGCGATCGAGATGTGAGACGTGTTCGGCCTAACTGCATAGGCTCTTCAGATGTTGGTATGGTTGCAGAGGTAATTTGATCAGGGGCTTTCTGGAAAACAGGAGCAAATGAACACACTGGGGGATGACATGGATGAGCCCTTTCCAGACTTGCTCCTGGAAGCAGATATCGATTTGGATGCTAAGAACAATCAAGTCATCCAGGCTGGTGGGTATGGTTCTTCCAGGTAGTTAATTCTTAATACGGTCTGCTAGACCCTGCCAAAAGGTTGCAGAAAGGACCTTATTATTCCATGCCAGTTCCGAAGCTAAGGTGCGAAAATGAACTGCATATTGTCCAGCAGTCATGCTACCTTGACGAAGCTGAAGAAGAGCTCCTGTGGAAGATGAAGTCCTGCCGGGCACATCAATGGTTTTACGGAAAGCTTGCAGTAAGGCTGAGAGGCTGAAAACAGTTGGATCTTGACGCTCCCACAGTGGCGAGGCCCAAGCCAGTGCTTCACCAGAAAGGAGGGAAATTGTGTACGCCACCTTGGAACGGTCAGTAGAAAAATGGTGGGCTGCTAGCTCAAAGTGAATTGAGCACTGACTGATGAAGCCCCGACAAGCTTTGGGATCACCAGAGAAGCGAGGTGATGGAGGCAGCTGGA